AGACTTTGTACTGTATATGGATAGTGATATATGAGTAATAATATACTTGAATTTTAATTGAAATATATATCAATACAATGCATATCATAATTAAATAAAAATAATGAAAAGTTAATAAAGTAAGAATTTTAAGCAACTCCTAAACGTATGCAAAAGAAATTAATCTAAGTATTCATATACATTCACTTTTGCAGCAGACCAACAAGAGAAAAAGCATTCAATTACATTACAGCGATAAGTTTTTTGGGAAAATGAAAACAACGTCCACTGCAAGTAATTACTTGTTTTATAGCAATGTTTGAGGATCTTCACAGACCTTTTTTGTGTGAAATTCAAGAAATTAAGGTGTATCTATACGTTCCAACAACATATATGCTGTTTTTAAGCAATTAATTGAAACTGTAATGTTTTTGTTATTTACCTCAATAATAAAATTTTTGTCCATTCATTTAATAACTGCATGAGGTGCAGTGTAAGGTGGAGTTAGAGGAGGTTTAACAGAATTGCGTTGACTTTAGGGTACCCCTTGTATTATCATGAAATTGTTTCATTTATCTCCAAGTTGTTTCATTTATTACCAAGTTGTTGTCTCATTTATGACAACCTGAGTAGTTGAATACTATGGAAACCCTATAATGACGTAATTGGTTGCGGTGAATTTGAATCATGGGAAAAAATTTGTAAAGTGTGTGTCGGATTTTGGGTAAGGACTTGTGTGTGTTGGATAAGTACATTGTTATTTTGTGGTTCACATGGTAAATTTGCTGAATGTGGTAAGATTAATTTGAAGTTTCTGTAGGATCTGGAATGAAAGAAAAAAAAAAGCATTAATTTACTGGTGTGTAAATCAAGGTTTACTTAGTAGCCATTATTAAGTGTCCTGTTTGGAGGAAGGAAATGCGTATGGATGAACATCGGATATTTTCAAACAGAGGATATTTTTTACTCTTACTTTTGTGAATTTATGTGGTGAAACGAGTATACAGATTCTACTTCAGATAATTTTAGGAAGTGTTTGGATGCTGTTAAGGAATTTTGTTTGACTGAAGACATGTAAATTCGTAAATAAGGTAAGTGGATATTTCCTTCATGTAGTGTTAAGATGAATTTCTCCTTTTTTATGTTATTTCATTGTTTGATTTAAAATGTAGTTTATTCGGATTATATATTTTTGTTGGCTGCTTCTTTGATTTTTTAAGTGAATATAGTTTGATGCTTACATGGACAAAGGGAGTGCGCAATGCCATTTTTGTACAATTTTGGGATTTTTTTTTTAAAGTCGATGTGTACATGGATATCGAGTTTGTGCAATTCTTTGTTTTGTTATTTTGGCTTTGTGTAGTGGTGATTTTTGGCAAAAAAAATCGCTATGCAAGCCAAACTAGTCAAAGAATTGCACAAACTTGATATCCATGTACCGCCAAATTTCGCCAAGGGGTACCCTAAAATATACTTTTACCCAGAATCAGTATGTAGAACTACGTGAGAACAGATTTGAAGTGCTGGGTGTGCATAATTTGATGGTTGAACATGCTTAGAGATTGGAATCAGTCTAACTGAATGCATGACTGATCGAATCTGTGAAATATAAGATTCAGGAAGAGGTTCGGAATCGATATCATTCAGAATATCTGAGGGTAATCTAAATGTGGTACTGTAAACAAGTTCAGTACAAGTAGCGTTTATATCTTTCTTAATGGCAGATCTGATACCCAGCAGAACAATGGGCAGAATTTCAGTCCATTTTGGATTGTTATGAGCCATTATTGCACTTTTAAGCTATCTATAAAATTTCTCAATCAGTGCATTGGACCGAGGATGATAAGCAGCTATTCGAATGTGGTGTGTATCCGAAACTTTCATTAAATCTTTAAACAAGTGAGATTCAAAATTTTGGCCTTGATCAGTTGTTATTGATACAGGGCAGCCAAATATAGCTATCCAGTTAAGCACTAACCCTTAACAAGTCGTCTGAGCTGACATGTCAGCAGTAGTTATAACTTCTGGCCATCTGATAAAACGATCAATAATTGTCATGCAATAACTGTTACCTTCAGACAGTGGAAGAGGACCTATGAAATCAATATGGGTATGTGCAAATCTTGCATCAGGCAAGGAAAATGTACCCAAAGGTGGTTTTGATTGTCTATGAATTTTAGAACATTGGCTAAACGTTAAAGTTTTTAGAACGTTTTTTTAGGCTTCGATTTCTGTTAAAGCAGTTTTTGGAAACACTGTGTGATCATCATAGAGACAATACCTTAACCACACGATTTGCAAACTTCATCCAACAGGGAATCCTATTTAGAATTGTTAGACACATTGACTGATACAGGTGAAGAAACTGTGCTTACCTGAGTGGGGATATGGACTCACAAGCCACATTCTCACACAAAGCTTTTCTCATCCTTTTGGAATTTGAGAAATGTGAACTTCGCATACATTCTGTCCACTGCTTTCATAGTTCATGCTTGAAAATTCTGTTGATGATGAGATCCAATGGCTATAAAATTTTTGTAAGCCCATCTGGTATCACTGAACATCAGTTTTTTTTTCACTTTGGATTTTACAATATTCACTAAATGGGATCTCATTGAATCCAGAGTGCTGAGTCACTGAGGTTGGAGGAAAGCACCTTTTTTGATAACTTCCTCTCAGTCACTTCTTCACACATCCATCCTTTTTCGTTGGTGCAAATAATAACCCCTTTCGAGAAGTTTCCTTTTGTAACTGTTTTTCTTTTGAAAATTATCAGTGTTTAACTTCTCTCCATTGGCAACACAACCTAAAACATAAGTAAAAGAAGTCTTCCTATTCAGGGTTGCTAACACAGAAATAGTTTTTGACTTGCTGAATGAAAAGTTCTTCTTAGAGTAAAATAAAAAAATATCAGGAACTTCATCCGTATTAACTACCTTTCCTCTATTCAAATTTTGTTCTTTAATTTTCTTAGATATATATTCCAAAAAAGATGTCTTTTTTTCAGTCAGTCCATGGGAAGCTTCTAACTGTTGTTTTAGTCCTGATGGATAATTTCTTTCGTTTCGTAAATCTGAAACACCTATTAGGGTCACCAACAAAATTTTTAATGCTCATTTGTCAAGCCATTATTTTTGTTTGAAGGCAGATTCTAACTCTTGATACTGATAATCCTTTTTCTCTGCTCTGTTGTCCATTTCTTTAAATTTTCTTCCAAAACAGGCCAGGCGATGATGCAAGTCCAACAAGATCTTTTATTCTTAAGCATTTTCTCTAATTCTTGTTCGGATTTCCACTGCCAAATGCGTTTCTTGCTAACTTGAAATTATCTAACTGCAATGCAATTTCCGCTTTCTTCACTGCCATTAAGCTTAAAAGCAGTTGTATAGCTTTCTTTTGAACCATAACTTTATCCCCAATGGCAGGCACTTGCCTCATTTCAGCATTGGCCACTCATAAGACCAGAAATGGTGGCCATTTTATTATGGAGGCAGCTAACAGTGACCACCATTGCTTCCTATGAAGGGACAAACCATTATGGCCATACCTTCTCAGGGACTCGAACCCAGGTCCTTAGGTACTGCAGTCGGCTCCCCTAACCACTGCATTCTCTGGGCGGGAGTCATAACAATAATAATTTTTAAAACAGTAATAATTTTAAAAATTCAACAAGCACAAATGTTAAGCACTGCACAAGTAAGCAATGTGCAAGCAACAAAGCAGTGGGACACATTAAGAACTTTGAAAAGTTCCTGGTGTCTGTTAAAAAAATTTTGTTGTTGGAAAATGCAGACAAAACCATGGAGTTCAGCAGAAAGTTCATGCATTATGTGTCTTACACCAAGTGCCACTTACTGTAGTTAGGTTAGTTTCCCATGAATTCGAATTTGCTGCGCTGCCTTAGCACAAGTTGAGCGTTCATATTAAGTTAAAATGTCACGGCATATTCTATATTAACTGTTTCACTGGTGCTTAACTTGCACTATAAACTAGAAGTTTTAAAGATATAGAAACAATAAAACTCTTTCACATACACCATTCTGGCAGGTATTCCCATCCTGTGTAGTGATGGCCTGTCTAGTTATAGCTTTCGTCCCATTATATGCAGGCCCATTGAAACCACGTCCTAAAAAAGCACTAGATGAGTGGAGGCCCTCTTGCGTGGGAGAATTTCGAATCCGCTGGATACATTCCCATCCGAGGACCAGATTGCTGAGACTAGCAGCTTTACCGAGGAAAACCACTTCCAATAAACATTGTCAGCAGATGAGTTGTTTAGAAAATTTTTCATGTATTCCCTTTATTTAAAATGTTAATCCTATCAATTATTTAAAAACTATAACTTTCTCATCACAATATAACAACTAGCAGTAAGTTGTCTGAGCTTTGGAAGGTTAAAATATGTAATTGTCAATAATAGTTTTTCATGTGTTAGTGATAGTTTTCATGCAAATAACTTGTGTCAAATAATAGCTTTTATGCTATCTAATGTTTTTTAATGCAATGTTTTTTAAATATATTTCCCGGGAGATTTTTTTTTCTTTGTTAAAATTATGCAACTGGAAAAATAAATAGTTTGATTAATTGAAATGAGTTGTTTTTGTTTTCAGCAACCTATACACTCTTGCTAACCAGGATTGTTTCCCCATGTTAAGTTTTTGGTTTTCTTTAATTTGCACGCAATGCAATGTTTTGTATTCATTTATTTGGATATCAAAATTATTACTTTTTAATGGTTTTATAGGGTTTCCAGAACACTAAACAAAAAAAATTGAGCTATGAATGTATTACTTTTCACTTAAAAAAAAATTGACATTGTACTTGATTTTGTATACATTGTAATGTCAGAGGTTTTTATAAATTGTTTAGCTCAAATTATGGTAACAGCTGTGTATGTTATCATAATTTAAGCTGCAGTAGCTACAATCTTTTATTTTGATAACATTTTCTGATATTGAAGTATTTTTGAAGTATATTTTGAAAGTATATTTTGATACTTATTGTAAGTTTTATCTTCGTAGTGTGAAGGCCTTGTTAGAATGGAGTATTAGGAGAGGTGAAACGTATCGATGGAAGTATGTGTGCTTGTAATATTTTCATTATTTTATATTTTAGTTAGGAAAAAAATATTTCTGTAACAGAATTCATTTCTATTTCAGATGTGTGTTTTTATCAGGGAATGGTGCTTTTTTTGTAAATTATGTAATTACAGCTAGTTTCATTGGTACTGCACTGGATCTCATTCGTTTTCCCGAGTTGTTTATGTATGTTTTCTATATATGTTTCTCCCGGTCACGTGCTGAGCAAGCTGGTTTACGCAAAGTAAGTATATTTCCTGAGATATTTATTAATGTGGTTTTGAATTAGGAATATTTTTAAATTGTTTTCTAGTATTTACTGAAATATTGCCATGATAATTTTTAATTCTGTAAAACTGTGTGGGGGAAAAAGAGTGGCAGCATTTGAAAAACAATGAGACACATTCTGTACTAAACAGTTATCTTCACAAGTGCTAGTTTGCAAAGGTTTTGGCACAAACTTTTTTTAAAGTTAAATTTGTGTTTTTAAATTTATCAAGTTTCAAATTTTACTCTTAAACTCTGAGATGTACAACTGTACTTAAAAAATAATTTTCTTGTGTTTTAATTGAAATTCAGAATAGTCTCTAAAGATAGGTAAATTTCATCTGAATAATGTTTCTTCCACATTGGTGAATTCTAACTTGCATTGGAATTGTTTTGGAGACAATCAAAACTGTTGTATCACAGTGCTAGGTAGTAGTATTGTCTGTGAACTGACATGCCTAACTCTTTTTGTGATTCAATTGCTGTGTAATATTTACGAGTTTAAATGTAAAATCAAGCAGCAGGAAAGAGCAAATGTTTTATTTTAATGTCTTAGTGTATGTCAGTAGCATTAAAGGTGTTTCTGCATGGGTGAACAATAAAAGTGGATTTTGTCCCTGGTGAATGATCTCACTAGTTTTACTAATCTGATTTGTTAGAAATTTGAAAGTTATTATTATAATGCTTTGTATGTGGGAATTTTTATTTTGAAATGATGATTTGATTGAATCAAACTACAGTAATATTCAACATGACATACATACAGAAAATGAATTATTGCTGTTTCTTTTTAGAAGAGATGTATGCTTTTTTATGATGATTTACTCTCAGTATTTATAATATTTTTGCGAAATGCCCAACAGCTGTGAGATAGCTTCCCTGCAAATTGGTGTTAGGGTTGCCAGGAAGTGGTAGGGAAATGAAGGATTGCCAATTACGACACGAAATTGCCCTTTTGGCAATATTTGGTTACAAAATTGCCTATATGCCGTGGGCAGAGCGAGAACATTCTAGAATGCATTCTTAGCAGTTTCTAAGGAATATTCTCGAAGGTAGGTTAAAGCTATATGTAATCTGCCTGTACAGAGAGTAAGTAGTGTCTTGAGTTCAGAGATTAGCTTGAGAGCGATCGGATCGGCTCAGTCGGGAGCTGTACTTTAGTGCTTTGCTGTGAAACTGTTTTCACCATTATAGTCTGAAAGCTATGTTGCTAATTGTTTCAGCATGCTTGTCATTGTTTTTTTTATGACTCTAAATGTGTCTTTGGAACTGTCCTCTGTAATACTGGGGAAAAACTGTGTTTTGATTCCTCTGTAAGTTTTACCATCAGGTACTCCATATCCATGAACCCCTAGAACATAACAGCTGGTGTCAGAAGTGGGATTTGTGAGTGAATGCCAGTGACCCCCTTACAAGAGAAAACCATGGCGAAGGAAATAAAGACTTTGATGGTATTGTTAGCATCTGTAAAAGCTTGGACAAGAAGAAATGAAGGCTGAGATCAAGGTGGGACAAGAAAAGTTAGAGAGCGAAATAAAATCTGGTCAAGAAAAAAAATAAAAGCTGGACAAGAAAAACTGCAAGAGCAACTCCAATGGATGGAAGTGGAGCAAAACAAGATTAGAAGCAACATCGTGAAGCTAAATTAGAAGACATAGAAAAGGAAGTGAATGAAAAGTTAGAGAAAATTGGAGCCAGAGTAGAAGATGTGGAAATGACATAAGTGACATCTGAAGAATCAAAGGATGAAGACATGAAGAAGAAGCTGGTGAAGTGTCTGAGAAAGATCAAGAAATGAAAGATAAAACATCTAACGAGATTAAAGGAAAAGATCGAAAAGATGAAGAAATTAAAAACAGGAAAGAAGCTCTTCATTCTCAAGTGTCTGAAGTGGAAAAGGAAGAAGGTGATAATACTGTTTGTAAAAATGAAGAAAAAAAAGAAGTGGTTAGTAAAGCATCTGAAAAAGGTGAAGAAATAATTCACGGAAAGTTCTTGGTTCTCAAGTACCTTAAGTAGAGATGGAAGAAAGTGAAAATGTGACCATTAAGTTGGTATCATATCAGTGAAGTTATGAGGTCGCAGTTAGAAAGTATTGAATCATCTGAAAATTCATGTGATGCAGAGATGGGAGAAGCTGCTGTGCAGCTTAAGCAGAGTGTTGCCGTGACAGTGTGGTGAGCAAACTGTTTCAGATCATCCTGTGGATGAAAAATCTGCAAAAATATGCAAAACAGAAATACATCTGAGAATTGCAGTGGAAAAGTAATTAATCAGGATATAACTTGAAAAGCCTGAAATTGAAATTTATTATGAACTTTAATTTATAATTTAAAATTGTTATGTGGTTAATTTGTGTATATAATGTAAATAGTATAAGACCATGGCTCTATTTGTTTTTAAATTTGTAAGTTTATGCACTTAGTTATTGATTTAGTATATGATTTGTTATTTACTGAAATTATTGTTTTAGTATTACATTTATTTGTTTGTCTGTACTGAATTTGGCTTCTGATAAAGGATTCTTCTGCCTGGGAGTGCAGTCCTTGGGAGGGGGCAGTGTTTCAAAATGCCCAGCTGCAGTGAGATAACTTCCACACAAAGCGGTGTTAGGATTGCCAGAAAGTGGCAGAGAAAGATAGGGTTGCCAATTTTGGCATGAAATCGCCCATTTGGTGATATTTGGCATCAAAGCTGATGATATGCCATAGACGGAGCAAGAACATTCTAGAATGCATTCTTAGCTGTTTTCTCAGGAATATTCTCGAAGGTGGGTTAAAGCTATATATATACTCTGCATGTAGGGGGAGAAACTAGTATCTAAAATTCAGAGATTATCTTAAAAGCGATCGACCAAGTCGGGAGCTGTACTTTAGTGCTTTGTCATGAAGCTGTCTTCACTATTATAGCTTGAAGGGTGTGTTGCTGATTGTTTCAGCATGTTTAATCATAGTTTTTCGATTACTGTAAATCTGTCTTTGGAACTGTCCTGTGTACTACTGACGAATAAACTGAGTTTTGATTTTTTATCGAGTGTTATCATCAATTACTCCAAATCCACAAACCCATAGAATGTAACAATATGTTAAGATAATTTCACTCTCCTTAGGTAACATTTTAGTTAAGTTTAGTTAGTAAAGTATTTTGGGAAAACTTGCCAGCAGATCATAGGCCAAAGATTACGTGAAGTATTCTTAAAATTTTGCTTTATCCTGGAAGTTAAAGTAATGAAGGAAAATTTCTGTAGTGGTATTGTTATTTTGTTTGCATTTGCCCTTACATTATGTGTTCAAATGCTAATAAAATATATTTATTTTCATTTCTATCTTGAGAAAGTATTCATTGAAGCTAGGAAAATGATTTTTATGGGTTAATTTAATCGTAAATGTTTTTGTACAACTATAAGTGTGCCGTGAGTTAACTTAGTAGGTGATTGTAATCATTGGATAATTATTCATCAGGGTAAAACACTATTTAATTTTATAATTCTAACAATACAGTAAAAGTTCCAAGATGCATAATTGTTGGAACTATTTCAAATTTCTGGGTTTTAGATCTTCATTGTAAATCTAGTAAGATGACGAAATAAGAAACAGTTATTTATGAAACAGTGAAGCATTTATAATCTAAAGGGAATCAAAATTTACCCCCCCCCCCCCCCCCCCGAAAAAAAAACTGAATATTTATTTGTTCGCTTTAGTAAACATTTCTTTCTATGCAAATTGCTTAAGCTGTTTCTTTCTTTTTTTCTTCTTTTTTATGTGCGTGTGTGTCTGCTAGTGCTTTTATTTTATTATTATAGATAAACGTAATGTCTTGTTCAGTTACAAAGCCCTGTGTGAAGAATTCCCACTAAACTGGCAATCTAATCTTTTCATTTGCAAACACCTGTTTGTCAGTTTCTTCACTATCAGCAGTGATATATTCTGGTTTAAAGTAATGCTTCAGATTTTACCATCCATTAGTTGATTGCTGATTGGGCACTGTTATCACAATGGGAAACTTCTGTTACAAGTTATTCATTTATTATCGTTTCTTCATAAATTCCATTAATTGGAAAATTTTGCATTCCTGTAAGATTCTAAATCTGCCCCAAAATAAGGTTGCTGGTTTGTCTAGTTTTTAAATTTCATTCTCTGAAGCCTGATTTACACCAATGCTGTTTTTTCTCAACAAAACCGCTATAGAAGACAAGTATGTTTTCATTTTTTGGATGTTGCCACAGGTCCAGAATTAGAAACTTTTTTGACATAATCGAAAGTTGAAACTTTGTCTTCCCCACTGCTTTGCTAACAAAAGAAAATCAGTATGAGATATTACTATGCTATTTAAACTTAAGGTCTTGAGAATCTAATTCTTCCTCTCTTTCCCACTGTTATGCCCCCCCCAAATAAAAAAAGAAAACTAGTGTAGGCAACATCCCATGCTATGTCATGGGGCTTCATGTATTGTTTAAGTCAGATAGACAGTTGTAAACTTCTCTCACAACTGAAGGGCTGAAAGTGTGGTCATAGCTAACATCAATAATTTCAATCAATGTTTTTCTTTGACCATGGTGTGATTCCCTAGCCTGCAGGCTTTGAAAGCAACATGCAGGATTCTCAGTTAGTGGGGTTTGTTTGGTTGGATTATTTAATTATGGCAAAACATGCAAGGATTAACTAACTACCTAAGGAAATGCATGACTTTGTGGAGGATTTTTTAAGGGAAACTGGTTCATATACATGTTACACATGTGGAAAAACCGGGAAGATACCCATAGAGCTACCCTATTCACCAGCATTCGAACCCAGGTCAGAACTATCTACTGTTCAGCCACAGGTGGGTCTCAGTTAGTGGAGAGAAAAATCGCTTTTGCAGCACATTTGCTTTTTAGCACTAAGTGTTGCAATTAGTTCTCACTCTTTGTTTGTATCCTTTTCCAAATAAAGGGATGTTGCCACTAAAAGTTAGAGTCATGTATTTTTTGAAGAAATA